GTGGCTCAATCCCGCTGTCCATCTCTGTAGCCCTCCTCTGGACTCGCTCCAACAGCTCCACGTCTTTCTGGTGTTGGGGGCTCCAGAGCTGGATGCAGTGTTCCCGGTGGGGTCTCACAAGGACAGAGCAGCGGGGCAGAACCCCCTCTCTCACCCTGCTGGTCACACAGCTCTTGGTGCACCCCAGGACACAGTTGATTGGCTTTCTGGGCAACAAGCACACACTGTTGGCTCATGTGGCTCTTAGCATCCACCAACAAGACCAAATCCTTCTCCCCAGGACTGCTCTCAATCCACTCATTGCCCAGACTGTATCTGTGCCTGGGATTGCCCCGATACTCTGAGGATTTCTTTCTACGTTTGAATAGAAAGCGTAGAAGTAGACAGGTTTTGAGACGAGGAGGAAACTTGGAGCATGATTGTTCAGTCTCTGTGACAGTAAAATTCTTTTTCATGCCTGAGATGTGACTGGCTGGGTTTCATTCAGCCATGTGAGTCCTGTGCCTGGTACATGGTACTGCCCCACAAGAGAGCTGGTGTTACCCGAAACGCCTGGCAAGGGAACGCAGGAAATGCAGCAAATTGTCTTGGGACGTTTTAGTAATACCTGTGGAGTGATCTAATTGAGAGTTAGAGTGGGAAGTAATTTTGAAGGAAGAGAGGTGGGTTATGCAGAAGGAGGAGCAGGAGAGCTTGCTGGGACCTGCTAGTATTGGTCCAGCCTATGATGTTTTTTGAAATTAAAAAAGAAAAAAAGAGGGAGAAAAGATGACACAGAAAAACTCTGAGACTGCAGGGAGACAAATACGTTTTATGAGTGCCTGCCTGCTAGAAGTCACAGATAGGAGTTTTTTTCAGGTTGTAAAAAGTGATACTTTATCAGATCTGTGAGGATATCCAGTAAGGAAGAACTTTTAGAGGTTTGGAGCAGCAGAAGGAAACAGGGAGAACCCTTTCTTGAATTTCTCAGCCTTAATAAGGGGTTTTTCTATGTAAGATAGATTGTAGTTTCATAACTACTTTGTGGTTTTGAGCATGATGATCAGCTGTGTGTTTGACTTCTGTTGTGCCTTACTGCAGTGTTTGTTTCAAGCTTTAGTTTGTCAGCGGCGTTAGTTAATATTGCCAGGATTTGCACTGTCGGATGTAGAGGGGGTCGTGTGGTTTTGGTTAGAAGGTGATCTGCTGTCATGAAGAGACACTTTCCATACAACTATAACAGTATCACACCATGTTAATAAATACAAGCAGCTTTGACCAAATGTACTACTTCTAATAAAAACAGACAGAAGAGATTTTATCAACTTTAATTCATTATGGTTGGTTATTTATTCCAAGTCTGTCTTAAAATTTGGTTACGTTCTGCTTCAGCTCTAGGGAGAAAAGCCAGCTGTTCAGTGCTGACACATTCCTTGCCTATGAGTTATCCTCGTATATAGTGAGGAGAGGCATTACTTCCCCCTACTTTTCTCGTTGGCTGCATGTTTTAGGTTTTAGTTCGCAGTTCACCTCTTGTCTTCTTTCTCTGCAGTCACCCTGTGTGCAAATCCTTCAGGATGCCAGGGGCTAGCCCGTTGTCTGGCTTGCCTCGAGCAGGGTTGTTTGCACGTGGCATCCAGCACAATTCCTGGGTTTTACTGTTTCAGCTTCAATTCCTGTGTAGTCGATCCCCCAAGAGCCCTGGGTCCTTCCCTCCTTGTTAGTTTGCCCTGTTGGTGCCAAAGGTCAGGGTTCTGCCTTTCTGGGCTGACACAGATCTTCCACCTGTATATAATGATGCTGTCGCCCCTCTTTTTTGAAGTGCAGGGGAGTTTACAGCCTGTTTGTTTAGCTGAAAATGTGATGTGGTTGGTAAATCCACTGTCCAGTGGTGTTGTGTTACACATTCTAAGCAGCCCCAAAACCACCTCTCTGTGTTTGCTGACAGAGCACGCGGGGCTTTTGTTTATTTACCACAGAAGATAGTCCATTCACCAGCGAAGTATCTCTTCCTTTCCAAACACTGGTGCTTGCCAGTGACTCACCCCTGGTGCATCTGGAAGGACTGGTAGGGTTTCCTGTAACACCTACAGCAGGAGAATAACCCAGGAAGTTCCTCTCTCTGTCACGCCTGCCCGTCCTCTTCCTAAGGAGACGTTTTTTCAGCCTATGGGACTGCTCATTTGCAGCTGGGTCAGGCTGTTTTTTCGTGAGATGTGATGAGGAAACTTCCTGCAGTTAGGAACGGAATAACCATTTCAGAAGAGGACAGCTTGTTCAAAACGTGGAAGCACCGAAAGCTGTCCTGTTGCCTTCATTTTAAGGACTAGTCGCTGTTCCACCAACACCTGTAGATGGAAGGCAAGCAGGTTGAGCTGTGACCCCTCTAGGAGCTTGTGTGGCTTTGATGAGGCTTTGATCTTGCTTTATCAGCACAGCGTGACCCTTGCTGAGCAGAAATACAGCCATAGGAAAAGAAAAAATTAAAAAGCAGAAGGGACATTTCTTCAGGGCTTATGTAAGTGGTCGTTGATAGCCAGTTAGGGTTTTAGTGCTAATATTTAACAGGGGAGTGCTTCCATAAATGGGTTCTGTTTGTTTAAAGTTTGAGCCAGAAGCCAGGTATGCATTTTGATAAACTGTTCCCCGTATTGAATGTCTTGTTACTTCTGCTTTGTTATTATTTCCTTTATTATGAATTATATTGTCACAGCCTTGATGTTTACGGTCAATAATTATTACTGGTTTGTTACAGAATGTGCCCACTTGCTTTTAGCCCATAATGCTCCAGTAAAGGTGAAAAATGCTCAGGGATGGAGCCCTCTTGCAGAAGCCATCAGCTATGGAGACAGACAAATGAGTAAGAACCTCTGCTTCCCCATTAATCAAAAATCGAGGCCTCATTCGGAACAGGAAAACAAATGTGCTCAAGCTAGGTGTTTTTTTTTTGTAATACTCTTATTTAATTCTCTGGAGAGTGAATTGGCTGAACTTTTTTATATCTAAATACGATGTGACAAACTCTGCGCATGTCCATCTTGGTAAAAAAAATGGCACTGGGATACATAATGCTGAGTGAAGATTTCGCTTAAAGTGATTGTAAAAGCTATAAAGTAGCATTCTGAATTTAAAATGGGAGTTACCAAGTCAGAATTGATTTTACCTGTACGGCATCAGCTGATCGGAACTGCTCTGCGTGGTCGTGTGTGCATTGGATGTATCCGTTGGTGATGAGACGTTGCTTTTATTTTGCATCTCACAGGCCAGGAGGCAAATACAGCGATTGCTTACTTCAGATACGATGTAGTAAAGGGAAAATGATTCTCACTGTATCTTACAGATCTGTGTCAGTACGTTACTGCACTAGTTTGTTCTACACTGGCAACATTCTGCTTGTCAGCTCCTCACGGCTGGAGAATTTCTCAGTGGAACTCAATATTAGGCATTCTGTAGGCTCATGTTCAACAATATGCACGCGTACCCACATTTATTAATGTGCGTGAAGACCTTGACGTGTTTTTACACTTCCTATTATAAACAATTACCGAGGATTATCTTCCTCTTGCAATCAGAGTAGGCCGCATTTCTCCAGAGTCTGATGAAATGTTACATTTGCATTGTTTGGTTGGTTTTTTGTGTTTAAGATGTCAAACAATGACATAAACCAACAAACAAATAGAATAGATTTACCTTACAGATAATTTCTGTCCAGTTACAGCACTTCTAAGGAAACTTAAACAGCAGTCCAGGGAAAGTGTTGAAGAAAAGCGACCTCGGTTATTAAAAGCCCTGAAAGAGGTAAGTTCAAGGCAGTTGTGTTGACAAAAACAGTGATGGTTTATGTTCTTCATATGGATGCTCTTCTAAATGGGAAAAAAAAAAGTTAATTACTTGCTTTTACAAATCTCTTTTACTAGAAATCTTGGCTTACAGTGCCCATTTTAAGGGGTCCCAGAATTATGTGTGTTTTCAAGATCATACTCCCTTCTCAGCTTCTATTAATTCATATAGAAAGGTTTGTGTGAGACACACCCACTAGTCGTCCTTACAATCTACAAATTAAAGAATGCATTTTTAAGCTGTATTTATTTCACTAGATCTTTGGTGAATAATTGTCTGGGGTTTTTGGTCGCCAATCACAAACAACACTTTCTTGCTTAGTAGTGAAAGAGTTTGGTTTTGTTTTTTGTTTTTTTTTAATCAAGTCACCCCTCACTTTGGTTTTGCTTTGTCTATAGTTGAAGGGAGTTGGCTGACAGGTGTTCATGAAGGTAGAGGAATTTTTCATGATTCCAGTGTATTTCCAGAAGGCAAATTGAAATTCGTGTGTGCGAATACTCCTCGCTGAAACAGCACTCATTTGTTTAAGCCAGAACATAGAATTCTGTGGGGTTGGATGTGATCAGTCAAAGCAAGCAAAGAGCTCCACAGATCTTTTTTTAAACATGTTTGCAATAAATCTTTTACAGGCCATGGCTTAATAGCTGTATAAAATATTATTTTGAAAGATTCATTAAAAATGCGAGTTCAGATGAGTTATGTAATTTTATCATTATTGATTCCACTCTAATTAAAGCTGCAGAAATGTCTTCAGTTATAAATTCAGATACTAACATTGGAGGAAAAAGTTCTCTTAATTTGGCAAAACCCAACTTGTGCCTGTCTTTCAGCAAATTTTACAGTTATTTAGGCTAAAAAGCTTGTTAACATATTCTTCTTTTCATCTCAGCTAGGTGACTTCTATCTAGAGCTTCACTGGGATTTTCAAAGTTGGGGTAAGCAATTGCATATTCCTTTCCTAGGGAGATAATATAATCAGTCTTAAGCATGCTTGCTCTCTCAAACTGAAATTCTCCTTTGGGTTGCAGGTTGGAAAGTTCACAATGTGGTTCTCGAGATCTAAGTTATAAAGAAAGGACAGACATTTTGGTCGAATTATTTTTGCTTATTCATTTTCAGAGCCAAATTCTGTTTTCTAATCCAGTGATGCAGTATGGGGGGGAGGGGGAACAAGCTTTTGTTTACTTGGAGAAATGGAGTAAAATATTAAAATGTCTCTGTCTGAGCCATTTGTCACTACGGAGCAGAGGTTTGAACAATTCGGTTGAGGACTTGGGGCATTTAATTTCCTGACTTTGAGCCTGTGCTCTGGCTCGTGACTTGTCATAGTTATTGGTCCCTTTGGCTAATTATGTTTTACAGGTGGTTTAATTCTTGGTAGTTGGTTTGGCAGGAAGCATTGCCATGCCGTGGTGCTGAATTGCTTTTTCTGTAAAATAAATGGTCCTTTTTTTAGAATGAGGATGGTGTTAGTCACTTACATTTGTACTGAGACTGTGTTGGAAAATGGGTGAGCTTGATTCGTGTTAAAATACACGGAGATCCAACCTGATGTGTAGTTTTAATAGAAATACTTTGCAGAGGAAGCTCAGTGTCCTAATTGCATTCCTCTCTTCCTACCTTTAGTGCCTTTACTTTCCCGAATTCTGCCTTCTGATGCATGTAAAATACACAAACAAGGTATAAATATCAGGTAAGTGCTGGGTTTGCAGATTTCAAGGGCCACAGCACTGGGCTTGTCCATTGGCCTTTAGAGGCAAGAAGTGGTTTGAACTTCAGACTTTCTTTTCTTTTTTTTTTTTTCCTTCCCTTTTTTTCCCTTTTTTCTTTCTTTCTTTTTTTCTTTTTTTTTTTAATTGATCCAAATTTCATTTCAGTTCCTGAGGCACTTAAAAAGCAAAAGCCGTTTGGCAGTATAAGGCTCTGTCTACAAGACATGACAACGATCAATCGAAAAGTAGGGGTTTGATATTTTTAGCACAATTGCAAATTTTGTGGAGAAATGTTGTTTCTCCAGTTGAGGTAGGAAAAAAAAAGTGGTACATAGGTTTCTCTTTTTCAAATGCTTCATGTGACAGATGCACAAACCCAAGAGTGCTGCTGGGAGTCTTTCCAAAGTCAGTTCTTTAACTGGCTTATTTTGGGGGGGGGTTGCATTCAAATGTCTTTTCTGTCTTCAGGTTCCAAAACTGAAAACAAACAAAAGATTCAGCCTGCAGAAATTTTTTTCTATTCAAGCTGTTAGGTTGAATTTGAGACCAAGACTGTTCTTTTCCTTCTGTTTTCTTGTGTGAAATGGGGAGTTCCGAGACTGGCCCTGAGTGGAAATAGCTACAGATTCTGTCTTGAGATCAGGGGCCAATATATGATGAGCTTTAAGCAATTGCCCCTTCGAGCTGAAGCAGTCAGTAAATTCAGCTTCTTTGACAATTTTTGTTGAAGAAGTAAATATTCTAGCAGCAATGGCTGTGAATTGCTGGAGAGATCTTTGTCCTTGGCTCCATCTTCCCCATTATTCAGGTCGGCAGAAGCGTTTCTTTTGCGGTGGTGAGGAGGGGAGATATAGAAATAGCAACTAAAATAAGTAAGATTGGAAAAAAAAAAAATCAGTCCATTTCTTAACCCTCCTCAAAATTTGGGTCATGTCCTGATATTGTTACTCAAATCAGCGGCTGCTTTGTGTGGAGTAGGCTCCTGCTCCCAGGGAGCTGTCGTATTTCTCCATGTGTAGCACCTACTGTGGGCTGCATAAATTCTGTCAGTCCCTCACGCTGGCAGTTTTAAAATAAAGCTTGCTGAGGCAAACCGGGCCTTTTCCTGTGAAGTTACTGTAAGGGTAGCTTGGAGCATGTTTATAATGGCAGAAATCTTATAATGTGGAACTTAATGGCAATTTTTTTTATTTAGTTCTGCATCCAGGCTTCAGTTAAGACATGCTCTATGAAAGCTTAGCTCCTAGAATGTTTGGTTGTAATTTTTTTTTTAAAAAAAAAAGCTTCTCCTTGTGAACTGTATATTTGAGTGTTATGGGTGATTTGTTTTAAAGTGCTGGTGTGTTTTCCCAGGCTGGACACAACTCTCATAGACTTTACCGACATGAAGTGCCAACGAGGGGACTTAAGCTTCATTTTTAACGGTGATGCTGCACCCTCTGAATCTTTTGTAGTTTTAGACAACGAACAAAAAGTTTACCAGCGAATACATCATGAGGTAAAGATCTGTTCGCGGGCAGGGTGTGAAATACCTCAAGCTTTTACTTCCCATCAGAAGCCTGACTTCATTAAGCAAAACTCAAAAAGACCCAGAGAAATGCAAGTCACAGGGCAAGGTCCTGCCCCTGGG